CGCTGTGCAGTGGGGGCCCCAGAATTTCTGTTTTGGGGTCGGTTTTTGGCAACTTATTTTGGATTGGCCGTCTTGCCTGGGCTTTTGCACATGGGCTCACCAAAATACAAGCTGGGTTTGCAATTCTGAAGAATTTGGCAATTGTCACATAAATTGGGCCTTTGCATGACACGAACGACATCTGTTGCAAAAAAACTGGCCTACGTGCTGACAAAGCCACTGCAGTCGCTACTGTGAACCCTGCTAATCACAGGAGCCAGACCACAAGTCACAGGACCAGAAAGAGGGTACTTCCAGAAGCTTCTTCATACAGTTCTGTAAAACCTGTAACTACCTTTTTCATCACCATGTTTGAGCCTTCTTCAAATCCACAAACCAGCACGCCAGAAAGTCACCATTGCAACCGTGCCCTCAATCCGTCACGAGTCCCGAGCCACTGGTAGGACTCCATCTCTGAAATCTACAGTTCCTACAGTTCAAAACAGGGTCTTAATGGGATGGTCTGTCAGCAGTCGCAGCATGACAGTAATTGCCGAGTTGCTACCACAGAGTGCATAATTTTTTTGGGAACTGTGCAGACGCTCTAGATGGCAGCACGACCGGGGTCACGTTCCCAAGCCAACCAAAGTCGACCTGCAGAACGGAATTCCTCATTTTTGGTTAACTATTTGTCTTTGTACTTCTTTTGCTTCTGATTTCTGATCCTTTGGAAGGAATGCAGGAAAGAAGGAAGGAAGTAAGGAATGTCGAAAAGTAGAGGAAGGACACAAGGAAGGAAGTAAGTAAGGAAGAGAAGGAAGGAAGGAAGGAGTCGAAGGAAGGAAGGAAGGGGAAGGAAAGAATCCAAAATTTGTGATTTGGCTTTGAAAGCTTGACGTTCAGCAATGACCTGGCTTAGATGGGCTTCAGAACTTGACATTCATGAAAGCATGCTTGCAAAGGCGGGCACAAGATTAACGCGGCATGCTGAGAAAGGGGTTTCCTGCATGCAGCCAGGTGCAGCAGGTTCCCGCTGTGCAGCAGGTTCTTGCGGGCTGGGTAAGAATTGCAGTAGCACCATCTCGTACAGCCCGATGGGCACATGCTCTTGGATGCTGTTGACCGGTCGTGGCAGGAGACCTCAAAGATCCAGGCGCACTGGTCGGTAAGATTTGGTGCGCATTGAGGTAGTTGCCTACAGGCAGCTTTGTATTGACAGGCTCAACAACAAGCTCCGGCTGTCCGGCTGCAGGCAACGTTTGCCCAGTGTGACCGAACCTGTCACTGAAGTATGCCTCTGGGAAGAAGCTTGATGCTTGGGTGCAGAGTCCACACTGCACCAATGGACCAATGCCCACTGCCAGGGAGCGGCCATGACCAAAGCCGTGGCGTCCCCAGCGGGCTGGCAGATGGATTCCTGAGTTTCAGGGAGCAGAGCAAGTGGCGCCTCAGGTGCCTGGAGCACCAGCCTTGGCCCAGAGAGGCTCGGCCTTTTTTTTGAAGGAGTTTTTGCATGCGTGGATACCTGGCAAGGCAACATGTCAGCGCAGGCTCCGGAGTTTTTGTGCATGGGTCTGTCTGCTTGGAATGACCTTCCACAACAGACATGAGATGGAGGTGTGTATTGCGCAGTTGGGCTTTCAGCCTTCTCTTCGAGCATTGCTTCAGTTCTCAAACAACAGATTCAGACAGCTGTCGCGAACAAACATGCAGACACATGTTGTCAAAGATAATCAGTGGTCACCGGAATTGTGTGGTTCTGCCCCACTGCCATAGTCCTTGCCAAGATGGGTGATGGCGCAAAGTGGCGGGGTGAGGGACGGCGGCATCGTCGTGAGCGATGGTCTGCAAGGCATCGGCAAGAGCCGGGAGTGCCAGAGCCAGATGAGCCAGAGCCGGAATTGCCACCGGAGCCGCCCGCGGAGCCGCCCGCGGAGCCGCCGGTGCCGGCGGAGAAGGTCGACATCTCGAGGATCAGGAGAGACTTGGAGGAGATGCGGAGAACTGCACAGGAGGGCAGGGAAAAACTCCTGGCTCTGGAGATGCCGCAAGGCCACATGTCCGGTTCCCAGACTTGGCTTCCAAAGATGCAGCAAAAGAAATGCCCAAGAAAGCACAGGCAGATCGGCGGCTCGTGCAGTTCGCATGCTCCTGCAATCGAGGTCAAGGCGGCCTCTTCTGGTCTGGCCATGCACCATTTCCCCCTTTTAAGCATCTTCCAAAGCCAGGCAGCCACTGAGGAGGAGCTCACAGCAGTCTACGACGAGCTGGCAGAGCACTGGGGCCAATGCGCGCATGCCCCAGGCGAAAGTCATGAGACTGAAGGTAGTAGTAAAAGCATCTGGCAGGTTGGACTTTATATTCACGGGTCTACGATCTTCTCCAACAAGGAGCCCAAAGATCTGGAATCATGGTTGCGTAGCTTGCCGCACATCCATCCGCCGTGACTCTCGCCTGCTAAGGATTTGCTGGCCATAGTGGACAACCCTAAACAAGATATCCAATGCGGATCCAAGGACTACAGCACAAGTTTTCCCCGAAACGGGGCTTGTCCAGAGACCTTTCGGGCACTGAAAGGACGCACAGTTTGTCCTCGGCCGCTGCGAGGTGTCAGTCTGCAAGCGCCGCTAAGCACGAAGCTCTTTTCAGTCGTGTTCACCCATCGCTCCTGAAAAGGGTTGAGAAGCCCAGGCGAGTGGTGGATAGAGAGGCTGCAAGGCATGGACTTGACGATGCTGAGCCTCGGCTGAGAGGTCGCCTGCTGCCCGAATTGACAAGCAGGAGTGTCGTTGAATATCTCAGTCTTTATGTCAAGAGGTGAGGGGCTGTGACGCGGAAGCATTTTTTTTTTCACTCTTGATTCTCTGCGGCGAGGGGACTTGTTTCTGTAGATGAAGGAAGGAGAAAAAGCAACAGCAAGAAGGATAAGAAAGAAAGAAATACGCGCAGATCGTTACTCGTACTTTTCTTGTTGCTTGTAGAATAAGATTCCATTCTGCAACTATGATCATTGAAAACGTTGTAATTCATTTCTCATCACTCTCCATCATGATCTAGGAGGTAATTTCTCAAGATTTCCGCGGTGTTTTATCATTGTTATGATTCACCATGATATTTTATCATGTTCCATTATATTTCACCATATTTCATCGCATGTTTGTCATGCACCATAGTTCTTTTCAGATTCATGTTCATATCCCTTTCCATCACGTTTTAATCATATCTCATGATTTGAATCATATACCGTCATATTTCAACATTTTCATCATCTTGATCGCTTTTGAGAATTTTCACAACCGTTCCATTAGCTTCATAAGGTGTTTATGTTTTCGATCGTTTCCTATCTTTTCCCATGTTCCCATCTTTTTTCAATGTGTTCAATGATTTGCAAGTGGTGGGGGCTGCCCCACCCCCGCTATCTGGTCACAACCAGACGGTCCGTACGGCAACCAGAGGCTGATTTTAGGAAACTACGAACACCCCTATCACAACCAGCTATTGATTTCAAGGAAAGCAAGATTTTCACGATAGGATTTGTATTCCGAGGGAAGGAAATTTGATTTATTTCAAGGAAACCTGAGTTGTAGTACGGACCATCGTTCATCAGAATACCAAGAAGCTGAATTGAAAGGGAGCACCTATAACATTAACATCCTCCAATCACTTCAAGCATTCCAAGAGCAGCACTCCAAGAGCATTTCAAGAGCACTCCGAGAGCAGCATTCCAAGAGCACCACTGCAAGAACGACACTCCAAGAGCATCACTGCAAGAGCAGCATGCCAAGAGCAGCATTCCAAGAGCACTCCAACAACAGCATTCCAAGAGCAGCATTCCAAGAGCAGCACTGCAAGAGCAGCATTCCAAGAGCAGCATTCCAAGAGCAGCATTTCAAGAGCAGCACTGCAAGAGCAGCATTCCAGAGTACATTAAATGGCCTGGGTGCCTCTGGTGGAAATCTGATTATGCGGTGTTCTGGTTGCAGTAGGGTCCGGTTTTGTGACTGTTGTGACTGCTTGTGATAGGGTCCGCTTTTCTGTTGTACATGACTTGAGGTCTTCCCCTCCCTCCTGTGGGTGGGGGTGGGTGGGGGTCTCACAAATGGAGGAGTTACGTAAGCCATTTGAAAGCTTATGTGGTATGGGGATATGATTAGACAGGATTATCTATAGATGTGTAGATATACAGATGGACCACGATTCCTACGCAGCCTGTGCAGTGTTTTTTAGGTTTTCATAGGGTTTTTTAGAAGCACATATAAGCTTCGTGGTAGAATATTAGAAATGTTCAAACACCAACATCTCCCACAGCCCGAAGGATCGTGCAGCAAACTAGTCCATCCTTGTAACTGTCGGCATGTTTGGAATCTTGTACGCAGAGTCAGACTCCAAAAGTGGCAACACTCACGAAGATGGCACGTTCCAGGCACCCTATCCCTGTGACTGTTGGCACTTTTGAGATTGCGTAGTCCTAAAAGAGAGGATGATCACGGAGACTCCGCGCGTTCATGGCCCCCCCCCTTCCCAGACCATACCGTGGGGGTGGGCGCAGGAACGCCAGACGCCTGACCATGTCTCGCCATGTTCCATTATATCTCATGATGTTGCATTACATTTCTTATCATTCATGTTTGTCGTTTTCCATCATATTTTATCATTCTGCATCATATTTCATCACTGTCATGACTTTTAATCAGGTCTTGATGTCTCCACATATTTGCGCATCATGCTTCATAAGTCTAATCACTTTCTGGTCACGCCTTTATCATCGTTCAGGAATTCCCATCACACATCATCATATTATATATTCTCATAAATTTTCATTGTTTTCCATCGTTTCACATCTTTCATGTCACTTTTCGCCAGTTTGAATCATATTGCAATATGCTCAAACATTTTTCAGCATCGTTCATCATGTCTGTTCTTCTTTGGCCGTTTTCATCACTTTCATCACGTTTCATCATATTTATTCATCATACTTCATCACATTCCATAATTTTTCATTTTTCACGGTTCCCCATTAGTTCCATCATTCTTCATGTTGCGAATGGCAGAGCCTCAAGCTTGGCCTGCTCTGTGAGTGCTTCGTTGACTTAAGGACGTGCCTCTCCACTCCCAAGCACTTTGTCCCGATGGAGATTGTGGATGACCGTGTTGTGAATTTGAAGATCCCTCCAAGCGTGCTTCAGGAGACATAATTTGAAAAACCTGAAGCAGCCCTACAATTAGCGTTCTGTGGAAAGCAGCTGCAGGAGTCCCTGAGCTCCTACGCGGAGTACACCTGGCTGAAGGCCCAACGAAAGATGGACAAGCACAAGGACCTTCGGAGCAGTGAGCCGCCCATGCCTTCAGCAACAAGCAAAGGACAAACAGGCAGGCATCAAGAATTGTTACTTCGTCCCCGCCCCGGAGTTGCTTTTTGATCTCACCTTGAGTCGTTGAGTCCTGACTCTGAGGCCTTCCGAATCCTGTGCTTCGGCTGCCAGCTGCTGCAGCATGGCCTCATCCCCGACCTCTCGGCAGCCCAGAGCCTAAAGCGCCTGGCAAAGCATCCCCGTCACCGCCGTCACCGCTTGCGTTCCGCCGCATCTACCGAGTGGTTATAACCGCAAAGGCCAATGCCAAGTACGAGCTCATGCTGCAGATTGCTGATGAGATGTCTATCGAGCCCGGTGACCTCGTGGAAAGTAAGAAGCCACTTCTTGGCCCTGTTCCACTTGGCGTGTTCTGAGGTGAATGGGACGTAATGGAGGCGATCTTCGGCCACCTCTTCCTTGCTGAGCTCCTCTGCATGCAGAGGAAAGGGAGGGTGCAAGAACGGATGCGTCTCCTAAGGCTTCAGCACTTCAACCAAAAGGCCACCTCCTGTGCATCAAGTGTGTCAAGTTCATTGGCCGCTGTGGGTGCTGGAGACCAGGGGGCCAAGGAGCTGAAGAACAGTCGGCATAAGACGCCCTAATGAACATAGGGCGGCTTTCAGGGTGGCTTAGAGTTTCTTCCTTGACCTGGTGGACAGGACGTTCCATCTCGAGCTTCTGATTTAGCTCATGATGATGTTGAAGATGCAGTCTGCGTCCTGGATTAGCTGTCCGGGGGTAGGCACCTTTCCCAACCCTTAGAACCGGCACTGTTCCGATGGCCCTAAGGCTGAGGCAGCTCCAGCTTGGCACTGTGCTCACTGCGAGGACACCGCCGCGGGCGCACCGCTCGCCTGGCCCAAGGCCTGTGCCTTCTTCGATGTGCTCTGCTCTGCTGTTTTTTGGGTGCTTGTTCAAGTTTCATCTTTGCTTCAGACATGTGTTACCAGACATGTGTCTTTTTTTGTCTCAGAAGAAAGCCAAAAGCGCGGCCAAGAGCGCGGCTTCGGCCTGTGAGCCCTGGGAGCGCCGCCTGGTGCAGATGCCCAACTGCCAGCACCGTCACTTGCCCAGATCTGGGGGTTTCCGGGGCTGTCCGGGGATTTCCGGAGTTGCCGGGCTTGGTTTTCATGTTATAACAGGTTTAAGCTGTTGAAAACGATTCGGGCATATGGGTCGCATAGGCAGTCTGCCTGTCAAAAATGTTCTCCTCAATTGCCAAGATGCACGTCGTGGTGATTCTTGCAAGAGGTGTTGGGGTGTTACAAGAGGCTCTAGCCACCATTGTTCCTACTTGGTCTAGGTGGTCTGCACTGGGCATTTGTAAGTTGATACGGATTCCCAGAATTCTCGGAGGCTCTACTGTTTAAATATTAAAGCCACCCAAATGTTTGAGAACCGTAGGCGCCAATCTGCAGGCAAGCGTTGAGTGCAAAGCAGATGCACCATAGAAGCGTTGTTCATTCTCTCCCTTTTCGGTACTTTGAGCAATTATTTTCTTCTTAGGGTTCTCTAGTCGGAGTATCATTTGTACTTTGTATAGGATTTCACTTGTGCAGCCCCCAAGGAAGAATGGACTAGTGCGCAGGAGCGAGTTCTTGCAAACTATCCACACTGTAGGATTTATGGCCTAGACGCCAACACTTACACCTCGCTGGGCCCGCTTTGCATGGCGTCGAAAACTGATGCTCATGCACACCTCGCCCGCCCACCGCCCAGCATCTGAGGCTTCCACATGCACTGCGTGGTGGCGGCCGTTCGGAAAAACCCAGGTTCGAAAAAAGGCCGGAAAATGGGATTTGCGTGTGTGAAGTCGGACATACAAAAGGCAATGCCGCAATCATTACACTCAATCGGGACAGATGAGATGATTCTTGGGATGTTAACAGGTTTACGCAATTTCCGTGTCTTGATTTCCTGTTAAACCGAAAGTAGTTGCTCGGGCTTCCAGTCGATTGCCAGGAGGCGCTCTCTGTCCAGCGTGCTCAACAAAGATTCGTGCAAGGGTCGACAAGTTGCGTGTGTCCTGGCAAGTTTTGGACGTTGCGGGCTGGTGGAGGAAGGTGGACGTATCCAACTGCCTGCATTTGTCTGAGGCCTATGCCGCATGGGGAAGCAGGCATCCGGCCTGGGGTTTCCTGTGATGCTCGCGACACGAAAAAAGCATGTATCCATTTTGCAAGCTTGGCCGCAGGTTGGGTGAAGATTGCGAAGATTGAGACTGTAAGGGCAAAGGGCGCCTCACTGGACCCAGCATGGACAGTCGCCGCCGGGCGTTCCGCGGAAAAGATGGGTTCGTTTGACTGTGAAAAGGGCAGGTGCAAACTTTGCCCTAAGCTCTGGCTTTTTATGCCGAGAGGCTCTTGGAAATGCGACAAGAGGCCTGGGTCTTCAATGGTCTTGTTTGCTGCGGATAAGTGGCATGGCAGGCACAAAGGACTACACCGGCTTCCTTTCAAAGTTCGTAAGCTGAAAAATCGGGCAAACTCTTGTAGAAATACCTGTGATAAGATGATTGCATCCTGCATTCATGCAATCAGTCACTGTACTTCTTATATGCTCGCATTTGGTGATTTGTGAACAATCTGTACTTAGTGCTTGACAGCACAGTATGTGCACAAGCCACACAATGCAGTTTCAAAATAGCCTTTGTTTGTATCTCGGCACGTTGTCTGAGCAAGCTGCGAGGCCAGCCACGTCGGGCTTTCCAGATGAGGGGCTCGCATTTCATCTTGGATCCGTACCAAAGCTTTGGTGGCAATTGTTTTTTTGAAGCCCCTCATCATTCTTGGAGACTCCCAGGTTGTAGGCTTCTGCTTCTGACTGCAGCTGCTAGGGGCTCGAGCCGAGGCATGAACAGAGTTGACAAATCCAATCCCAGCCAGCAACTAATCAATCTCCTAGAACATAGCTACAATGAGAATGGTATGCCACGATCCTGATACTGGCTTGATTGCATGTTCTCGTCGTCGTCTAGTACCACCGCACCATAGTATAATTCTTTCCTATATGGAACCTATTTCAAACAAAAACCTGATTACGCACGCCCACCCTACCGGATCGGTGAGGGTCATCACTTAGGGCCAGCACCTCATAATTTTGCTTTTTGTCTTGTCCCTTAGGCGGGAACATTGGAGCCGAGATGTGCAAGACTGTTTTAACATGCTGTCAGGGATGTTTGTTCCAGGAATTCATTCCCCACTCGCTGTCATGTACTAGGAAGTGAGCCTGTTTGAAGTGTAAGAAGAGCATTATTCCAAGGCTATGGCGAAAGAGGATTCTGGGTCATCCTCCGAGAGCGAGGAGGAGCATCTGGCCATGAACGTATTTTGTAGACTGTTGGAGGACTTCTATGAGAGATTCAGTTTCAGTGTCTGAGTTGAGAAGCTGCTTTTGGCAGGACAAGGAGTCTCTGGATGACAAGCTGTGGCCTCCCAAGTCCTGGCTTGGCTCCTTCTGTTTATTTCTGATGCTTCGCTGAGTGTGCCCAGGAAGAGGATAACAAAGCTGGGCAAGGAGGGGAATGTGGAAGGCCTGGTGAAGGAGGCTGGGATCAATCCCTTTTCTTGACTGTGCTTGTGCTGCGGCAGAACTTTGGCCGAAGGCAAAATTGGCGGACTGCTCACCAGAGATGGTGTCCTTTGCTTCTAGGAAGGCGAAGGATACATCGGTTTCAGCTCTGGTGGATTGAACAACGATGATTACTAGCTTGCGCTGAGTTCCAGGACCTTGGCAACTTGGCCTTCCAGAAGAAAGACTATGCCCGGGGCACAGTGAGGGGGCGTTCAGAGGTATCCAACATGCTGCATGGAATTTACTAGGGAACATGAGAATCATGAGAAGTTGGGCAATGAGGGTGATGCTGTGATAGGGGTGATCGGGCTCCAGCTGCTTGTGACTCTTCCAAGCATTTCTGTAGCGGCAACGTTGAGCTTCGATTTCGTCATGAGGTGTGATTTTAGCTCGAGTATGGATGCTGAGGAGCAGGCGCTGGAGTACTATGCCGGCGCACTCTTAGGGGATGCTGGGCAGCAATGAGGAGAAGGGTTAGTTCAGCCTTGGGGCACTAGTTTTGGGCTTTTAGGAATCCTTCTGTAGGAAGCTGAAGCTGATGAAAAGCTCTGAGGATGCGCCGGAAAGGTACAAGATCTACAGCAACCGTCCTGCCCCTTGCGTGTGCTTCTTGTTTCGAGCTCTGCGGGCCTTCACTGGAATGAAGACAGACATGTATCCAGGCTCTGCGTGCCAGTTCCAGCTTGGAAAGTACACCGAGGCAGCCGGGATGGGGGGAAGTTGAATCATGCTTCTGGAGCACACCTTTCCCATGTTTAGACGGTGCTTTCGAGAATTTTTTGCAGCCTCAGGCCTTGGTCGAAGCCACCAAGGCCATCAAAGAGAACAGATCCTGGCACCTCGACGCAGAGGGGCAACTGCGCGTTTTTGACTTTGAATGCAGTGTTTTCAAAATCAGGTCCAAGGGTTACTTCCGCGCAGGCCGCGCGGCCTTAGAGCTTGCCCCTTAGCCGCGGGAACCTTGTTTTTTATTGAAAAAGCCTCCCTAGTCAGGATGGAATACTACCAGGAAGCCCTGGAGATGTTTGAGAAAGGCCTGGAGAAGGAGTCGACAGCTCAAGAAGCCTCTCGACCATTCCTGACCCAACCCGAGCTTGTTGAGGCCCAGCAACAAGGACTTGGTTGTTTGGACGCAGAAGGCCCGTGACATCCGCAACCAGCATAATCAGGAGCCTCGAGCAGCAGTGTCCCCAAACTTCCTAAATTGGCCATGTGGTGTGGTTCCTGTGCTATCTTGGTGCAAAGGAGAAGTTGGTCAAGAAGCACACCACGGATTACTCCAAGTTTGACGCGCTGATGCAGCAGCAAAAAGAAGAGGAAGATGAGGAGGAGGTGCAGCGAAGAAGCAGAGAAGTGGGGCATGCATCTGCAAGCCCTACAAGGCTGCGAATGACCCAAATCGGATCATCCTCGGAGACAAGTGCCCGGCATGCTTTAAAAACCTGCTACTGTAGTGCACACGCAAATGGCAACCACGCTGCAAAAGAAAAACACACACACACACACAATTGACAAACCTGCTCAAGTCTTTGCTGCTAAGCGAGCGTGAGCCGGTAAAGCCCCGAAACTGCTAGGGACGCTGGGCCCGTAGAATCCATCGCAAATTCCGCTACAGCCACTTCAGGCTTGACCTAGCAGTCCAAAGGAGTTTTAGCAAATCAGGCTGGCTCCCCCACAAAAGTTCAAGCTTGCCCCATGAGTGCAAGGCGGGCCTTTTGCATCCAAGGGTGCGAGGATGGCTTTAATGCTTTTTGGAGCAAAAGTTTGCATTTCCGCCAGAGCTTCTGGGATGTGGCACGTGGCATGCCTGGGATTCATGGGGCTCCGAGCTGGTTGGCGCCGTACATGGCGCGTGCAGTTTCCACGTCTAGCCTGTTGTTTTATTGACGGTTTATGGGGAACAGAGCAGCCAGCATGCCACAGGCCATGCACCCCCCCGCCCAGAGCACTTCCGGCCGCTCCAGCGATAACACATATGACTCCAATTAGCCGGAACATCTTCCGAATTTGTCACGTTGAAGTCCGAAATCAACAGCTTTTGCTGACATGAAAACACAGTGCTTTATGAAAACCACCCTGCAAATTGCACAGTGGTTTGACATGTTGTTCTCTGGATCCCTACAGCGCAGCTGATGGAATGATTCACCTGCCATCTTTGTTTGTCTGTCACTGTGAGTGCCTTCAAGCCTTCTTTCAGGGAGGCGTTTCTGGTCCAGCAGACGTTGTTTGTATTCCAGTTGCAAACGTCAACTCAGCGCATGCCAATTTCAGCACTTTCCGGCACATGAGTGCAATTGGTGCGCGCTTTATTGCATTAGTGAAGTCACCCGGAACCTACCAGAGCCAGGTACTACTCATCTTCAAAGATGGTACGTCCCTCAGTTGGGCAGTCCTGCATGTGATCCCTTCAGTTCAACGACTCTGAGGAGCAGCGCCAACTGAAGGCGATGCTGGGCTACAAGGAGCCTCCGTGCCCCCAGCGTGTTTTGTACTTATTCGCTCTTAACTTCAATTTCTCAAGCCGAGGCCACCTCCGTTCGAGCCCAAGTTCGACATGGAGGTCATCTACAGGCCGGGAATATCAGTTCGTAGGAGGCTGCAAAAGAACTGGCAGTCCATGAGCGCAGCTCAGAGGCACTGCATGCATATCCAGGCACGACAACCGTGGCGCCAAGACGCAGCATCCCATTTGGGTGAGGGTCCTGCTTCAGGCCAAGCATGCCATTTCGCATGGAAGCTGTCCAAGGATCCGACCACTCGTGAGTGGCGCATCGACGCCAAGCCAGCACCGAGCCGCGTGGACTACAGCGACTCTCAACAAGCGCAGGCCAGACCTCGGCGTGTATTTGGATTGAGACTGATGCGACTCTGCGTCTGTCAGGCTATTGCCTTGTTCCTGGAGAGACAGAGTGAGGCTTTTGGGCTTCGGGTTGAGAGCTAAGCCGCTAAACTTCTCGTTGAGATATGTTGAGAGAGGTCCAGCAGGCAGAGGAGCTTCTGAACCTGGTCGACCAGCACGCATCCCCTGTGGATGCATATGTCAAGGCTTTGAAGTATGCTAATTCACAGGGTGCTGGACTAGCCGTGGGTACCAGGCTGTACGGGATATTGTGGGACAGCTGATGGGTGCTGGACCCAGTTCTGAGCTCTACGTGCGGGTTTGCGCCACCGTGGTTTTAAGGCGCCACCAACGCAGATGGCACGCGGCAGAAGCACAGCATGCTCGGGAATGACGTTTGAGCCCTGAATTGAAATTCCTCACCTTTCGGGCATGCGAAACATGCGAAACATGCAAGAGCCTAAGAACCTAGGCGAGGTGGCTGTTTGTGGGTCTTGGGACCTGCCTGCCATTGCTGACCGCGGCAAGGCCCAGAGTGAGCTCCAAAGGAACAGTGCCTTCAGCGCTACATCCGCACATCCGCTACACGTCAGGTACCTCCCCACTTCCGAGATCGTCGCAAACACCGCGCCCATAGCTTAGCACGAACGGGACAGGCCGCATACGCCTGTAGTCGGGCATAGCCTTCGAAGGCATCGCGCGGCATACATCGCGGACCTCTACATGACCATTGCTCGTGAGTGCATCGCTCGGTTCACTTGGGCAGGCAAGCATGTTCCTGCCTCTGTATGCACACTAGGAACGGCTTGAAGTCGCAGCAAGTGAAGCATGGACCTTAGACGCTTGCACGGGTACTTTGGCAGAATCACATCCATCAAGGTTTGTTCATCGCCCGTCTCACGAGCTTGCTGTCGTGGACCCTGACGGAACGGATGAGAACAACTTGACTGGTCGGGTTGACGTTGCAACAGCCTCAGCTCCCTTCCTAGACATCCTTGCGTCTTCTTTCTTAGGAGGGGGTTCCAGGATCTCCCCCTGAAGGGCTTTGCGCGTAGGGAGCATTCTATAGCAGGCCTTTGGGGGTGTCGGAAATTCTGCCTGGACGAAGGCAGTGCTCGACTACGAGCTCTTCGATCCGGGCCTAATCGGCAAGGGGGCCGGTTTCTCGGTCGTGGCCTGCAAACATTCGGCAAGAAGCTTTGACCCAAGATAGGTCCTGGCTAGGGTGAACCATGTGAAGAAGAAGTTGGTGACCGCTGACCACATGATTCTTCCCATGGGCACTGAACCTCAGAAGGGGTCAGGTTGCTCTCATGTCAATTTTACACTGACCGAGCTACAAGGTGCTCAGATCCTCTGTGCACCCTGTGAGATGATGTGTCCGCGGGGCGTGCGCAGCCCAGCATTTCTGGCGATTTATGATGACACACTGCACGACATCAGGACGGGCCGGATGGCCTGGACTGGCAGGCCGCGATTCCATTATTTTTTTTAGAGCCACAGCTGATTTGGATTTCCAAGCAAGGCCGGGGATGACTCGCGCTGGGGCGCCTTCTACGAGGCCCCGTAGGAGGCGGAGCAAGGCTGCGGGCAGAGCGCTTTCCAGAGGCCGGCAACTTTGATGGTGGCCTTCGGGAGTGAGGGGCTGAGCTGCTCGGCCTGCTGCGGGCGCAAGGCTGACGTGCTCTGGGTGCCGAGGCCTTGGCGTTGCCTCGGGCAGCGGGCCTGGAAAAAGCACCAATCTGTATTGAATTACTTCCTGAGCTCAGCGGTGATGCCCTTGTGTTCGCAGCCGCCAGCCTCAGAAGTCACGATCGCCCCCTGAGGGGGCGCTGGCATGATGCCGTGGCTTGGGAAACTCGCGGGGCTCGCGGTTGGCTGTGTCTGCGCGCTTTTCCTGGTTGGCTGTGACCAAAGCCTCAGCGAAAGTGACGGAGGGTTCTTATCCACGTCAGGGACCACGACCACGACAGGAGCCGGAGGAGCAGGAGCCGGAGGAGCGGGAGCAGGGGAAGAGAACGTCTCAGACACGACGGCAGGTGATGGCGCAGCAGATCCAAGCAGCGCAACGAGCACCACGAGCACCACCAGCACCAGCTCAGATGTTGGCACAAGCACAACCAGCGAGGGTGTCACCACCACTGCCGGCGGCACAGGTACCTCAGTGCCTGTGCCACGCACAAAGGCGGGGGATGCACAATTCCTGTTGCATGCAAGTTTTGGCCCCACTCGGGCAAGCTTGGACGAGCTGCAGAGCACCGACCATGCAGCATGGATTAAGCAACAAATGGCCCTGCCGGCCTCTCTGCTCAGAAGTCGCTACAGGCAACGTGCAAACCCTGCGGCAGTGGCAGAGACACTGCCTGGCGTGCCTCGCACACCCTGTGAAAAGGGCTCGCGTTGGCAGCAGGTGGCCTTGAGCCACGATGACATTGGGAAGTCAATTGCCGCAACTGGAAGTCAGATCTTCGTCGCTGGCAGCTTCCGCAGCGACCTAGATGCCAGCCATTCGTTGAATGGCCTGAGTGTGCCCGGACCTACACAAGTTTCAGCACAGCTTTCAGCACAGCTTTCTGCCCAGCTCTGCAGGTGTCTTGGACATCAATTGTGAGGGTTCTGAAGCCAGTCTGAGGCACCGCTGTCCTGCAGCTCCACTCCGAAGCCGAACTGGGCCAATTCTGGCGGAAGCTGCAGCACTGAGGCCTTTTGGGAATCACCTACAACCTTTCTTGCAGCTCTGCAGCTGGGCTGAGCCTTGCTTAAGGTGACGCAGTGGAAGTGCACGAACCTAGACGACTGGAAGGCCGAGAACATATGCCAGAAGGCTCCTGCTCAGTCCAGCATGAGTCCTTCCCAGATTTTGATGCAGTGAGGAGTGCTTTGACACTGGCATTCGTTATAATGCGGACGACTGCTCCCAGGGCTGGCCTGCGCTTAATTTCCAGGGATTCGCCCCTCAGCAAGTTTTCAGAGGTGCTGACAGGCACGAAGACCAGGGCTTTCGCAAGCTTTTGGGTTTTGGATATCAAAAAGTGTCCCAGAATCTTTGAGCATTTGGGGTTCTGACGGGGTCACTCCTTGAAAGCGTCCAACTCCGGGCGGCTTCTTTTCCTTGTCACTGCAACCGAGCAAAACGGAGATGAGAACCTGTCATGCGCAGCAATGCGCAGCTCTGAGGTGTGCTCCGTGGAGCCTGCGGCGACAGTCGGCAGCCTGGTGATCCTTTCAACGTCTCAAGCTTGCAACAACATCAACAACATTGACGCCTGGTTGCCTGAGGGAAGGCTGTCCTGTCAAGCCCTCTAAATGCGGTGAAGCCTTTGGCCGCATACGAGCTTTGGAACTGAGGTGGTGATGCTGAATCCCGGCACCTTGGTGAAGCATCAAGGCTCCAGTTCCTTCTGCTCCTGCTGTTCCTGCTCCTCATCCCCAGCTCGTCCTTTGGATGTGGAAACTCAGGGATTTATGTTCTGGGCCTGTCTGAGACATCTGGCTCCTTCACGCCAGTGCGGTCTGGCGTGGTTGTCCTGAGCCAGCCGCCAGTTGCTCGGCACAAACATGGCCAGGCCACCACAGTGCAAGTTTCGCAACCTCTTTTTCAACTGATCATGCCTCCCTCCCTCTCTCTATCGGCGGGGGGGGGGGGTTGTGCCTCTGTTTTTTGTCACCTCCTCTGCCACTGGAAGTGAATAGTCAGAAACAGCTCCAACTCCATCCGTTCAGGTTCCCTGCAATTTCGGCGAATTCATCAAAGACCCTCAGCCGCATTTCAACTCGAACTCTCCCAGGCTTCTCCGGCTTGAGCATGTACCTTTCCCATGAGGAGCATGCATGCGCTCTGAGGTAAACAATTTGGCCTACCGCTATGACTCCCGCTTGAAATTGGTGGATGTCCAATCTGGGTCACAGGCAGTGCGGCTGCAATTGCACCGGCCCAGGGCTGTTTGTAGTAAGTCTCTGCTGTGAGGAGACCTGCGTGGCTGTGCCTAAGACCTGGCTGAACGTGGACCAGTGTACAGTTCAGGCCCGCTTTGTAGTAGTACTTTCTGGACTGCTCAAGGCTTGTTGATGACTAACGCCTCTACTTCTGGTCCTGTTGAAGATTTTGCGATCGCAGGCTGGTCGTGTCTGCAGCGTGGCACAAGCGACTTCGGCAACCTTGATTCTAAATGCCAGCAGCCTTGAGCTGATATCGACTCAGACAGGCAGCTATGTCTACTCCGCTGCAGCCTCATTGAACCATTGTCCCAACCGCCTCCCAAAGATGCCTTGTCTCGTTTGATCTCGTTTGTGCGCTTCTGCTCCCAGGTCTCAGGCCTCCAGGCCAGCGTGGGCCCGTGCGGCACGCTCTCCCGACATGTTTCACAGAGGATGTGAGACATGCAAAGAGGCCAACAGAATCCAACCAAGTCTCAAGGCTGTCTCGCTGGAAGCAACTGGATTGTGGTGCAGTGGACTGCACACCAAGCTCACTGAGCTCAGCTGACCTTACGCTCATCGCGGCTTGGCCGAGAGCAGCCGCTAGCCACGGCCTGCTTTCAGAATTTTGTTGCTCTTGGCCGCTTGAGGCTGACGCGCTTGGCCAGAAGCAAGGGGAGTACCGAGATATCTTCGTTAGCTGCGCAAGCGTTGCGGCCAACTCCGTCGTTTCCGTGAGTGGTGTGGCTTTTGGACACGTGCGCCCCATGCAGTGACTTTGCCTATTCACTCGAGTTTGTTAGGATCACCCATGATGCAAAGGTATATGTGCATGAAGGGAGCGTCTATGACTTCTCGAGTTGGGTCACCGAACATCCGGGGGGAGCTGGGAAGATCACCAAGTGGACGAGCAGCGGCTACGAGCTTGTTTATCCTGCCAGCCACGCAATGTCCCGTTTCGAAACAGCGCTGGCCGACAAGAAGCTGCAATATGCGCTTTGGATGAGCTTAACATGGATGGTTGTCCCTGTTTCTGCTGCTTTCAAGAGCTTCGTGTTAGGTGGGAACGCTTGGGGAGGAGATCAGATATCTGAGCCTTCCTACGACACTCCAGTCCGAGTCGCTGGCCCTGGCTCTTGCGCCCCAATCCGGGGAGGACATCTCTCTGGTGGCCGGGCAATACCATAGCACTTAAATTCCTTAGACTGTCCACATCCTCCACCCAAAATCGAACACTAGAAGCTCCCAAATCTCCCATGCTACAAATGCGCCTAAATGGCAGCCAAGAGGTGCGCGAAAGCTTTGACCAAGGCGTGCCCTTCACCTGGTGAGGTGGCCAATGAACCTGAGCTTGGGAACAACATACCCTTCTTCATGCTGCTTGGCGAAGCCTTTGGCAGGGAATCTCTAGGGTGACAGTAAGGTGACGGTAATGGAGTTCACAGCCCTGGGAAGGTCTCCGTTTCTTCCTGACAATCAGGCATCTGAAAGGGAAGTGGGGATTTGAAAGTGCAATTTGGATAGCTCAGGTACTTTGAGTCCTTTGCCACCGCAGAGGCAGACTTCGATTTTGATCATCCCAGCAAGAACTTTGATTCCAGGTGGGCCGTGATATTCTCTTGCAGTCATGCTAGCCAAGCCACCTGATCTTGCCTGCGATCTCCTTTTCCCAGGGTTGAGGATGTCAGCACATCCATGGAATCGACTTGAACATGAAGCAAGGTCCCGGTATGCTCGTACCAACGCCTGGATCAACCAGGCCAGGACATCCCGCTTTGCTCTCAGCTGCTACTGCAGGCTACTGTATGCTACTACATGCTACTGGTACTATGCTGACTACTCTCAACCAGCACTTCTACTGGTACTTCAAGCATTGCGGTTCCTGCCTCTGCAAATGCTGTGAGAACTGCTTTCCTTCAGTGGCTTTGTTGCAAGTCTGTTGGATGTAGCATTTTTTGTTATTACTATTCTCGGACAGTTGCGTGTCTTTGATTGCGAGAACTTGTCTCGGAAGCTTTTCCTAGATTTGGGCATTCTTGCTCTGCCGGCATCGCTCCTTTGTCGTCCCACGTCTTTGATCCTTCGCCATAATTCTACAAGCGGCCACGCTTGTTAATTTGGAAGTGGATTGCATGCTGAACGTGCTCATTTGTTTGATCCAATCGTGCGGCTGTTGAAGTCTCAAGATGCTGCTCGGGCTTCAAACGTGGCACTCAGTCTTGGCGGGCTAATCAGTGAGGTCTTAAGCCCACTCCCCTCCCTAAGCCCTACACCCTAACCCCAAGCAAACCCTGAACTCTGGGCCCGACAGCTGAAAGATCCAGGCCATCACTGCGCCGGACCAGCTGCGTCAACGTGCCCTGCAAAATCTAGTCTTGGGCGTCTATGTGCTCCTAAGTCCTTCTTGAGCTCTGCAATGCTACGCAGTTCTTTGCCAGGACTGCCGCGTGTTTGTACCCTTCCCTCTCAGGTGTTGCCTGGGCTCTATTGCAAATACTGACTGTCAGTCCTCGCCTCAGCCGTTTCAGGTGTTTTTGTTGGTAAAGCTGACTGGAAAACGGAGATAGTGTGGCCTCTATAAGGCACTGGCGGCTTCACATATGACTTTCAATTTGAGCGCCTTGACTGTACTTGTACTCGCCTTGGCCTTGAAAAAAGGGCTGCCCTTGAGGATGTGGGTCAACTACTACGATATCCTCGCGAGGGGCGCCTTCGGGAACTACTTCGATTTGCTTCGGGAAGTGACCTTGAGTCCTCTGATGGGCCTCTCCGTGGCACTTGCATTCTTGTTCAATATTTCTGATTCTTTGTTTTGGTGGCTCCGATACCACGATCATCACTTCATCAACTTGTGTTGCTGGTGGCTGCCAGGCGAATACTTGTCTTTCTTTAGGAACACGGCCTTTGACCACGACCAGAACTATCCGGATGAGTCCCTGGGATTGCAAAGGCTTCTGAGGCTCAGGGAGGGTCCACCCAGGGTTTCGCAAGGGTGTTCAGGGTCTCTGAATTTTGGTGTTTGGAGGTGTGGCTTTAGATTCCTCCTCTGCAGCGTTCAAGGAACTATGCGCGGGAAGTGATGCAGCTCTTCACGGTGGGCACTGTAAAGCTTAACCCAGACGGCTCAGAGGTCCTTGTTGGAGGCAACCCTGTGCCCACCTATGACAATGAGGACTGGGAAAAGCAAAGCATCCCAAGCCGTGCGCCAAAGTAGGAGAGTTCGTGGGGAAATATTTCAGGAACTGTTGCGTTTGTGAATAAAGCCAAGAGAGAAGGCGGCCTCATTGCTAGAAGCTCCAAAACTCAATGAACTTCGTGCTAGGACATCATGACCTTTGCCAGCGTTCTCACGGGTTTTGACCGGCAGCTGACGCGCAGCAACCAGGAAGTTGTCAAGGGGACAGGCAGCAAAGCTGCACGCACAGCGCAAGAAGTGTTACAAGTGTTCAGCCCCTTTGATGTGTGCGTTTGCTCTTCGTTTTGTGCAGGCAGGAATGTCATTGATCCAATGCAGATGAAAGCAGAGTGGCATGACGCCTACCCGAAGATGGACCTTGAGGACAACTACCTCGGTGATGGATATCCGCTCTGCGAAGATCTGCCTCAGGGCGCTTTTCTCTCGAAAGGTGCGCGCTTCGAATTCTTCGGAAGCCAGTACGGATTCAATGACGCGCTTACCCTCCACAGCTCGTCCCCGTTATACACTGCCCTCTGCGCCCCCGATGCTTCGAGCAATTGCAGCTTCCAGGCATCCGTAATTCTATCGCAGGATCTGTCCTGCCATGGAGACGAATGCGACGCGACGCTTCCTGCCATTGTGAAGGTTGGTGCAGCATACTACGAGTTCGTGCCTCCTGCATGTGTGCACCTCTATTTCTTTAACGGCAAGATTGCCACGGATGGAGGCAGCAAGCGGGACTGGGCCAGCAAGATCGTATGCACCAATCCAGGGACCTTTGCTGGAGGCAGCTACTGTTGTGATGGCTGCTCCAACAACCGGCCTCCCAGCTGGGTGCCAGATAAGTTCTGTGAGAATCGGTCCAGCTCCACTTTCTCAAGCAGCTGCATCAACACAAACAATTGGGTGAACAACAAATACTGCGAGCTACGCTGCTTCCAGGAAGGCCTTGGATATGGCAGGGACTGTACATCCGGAGATTATCGCGAAGCTCACAAGTGTGGTTTCTATCAGGAGAAGGTGCCTTATTCCAGAGCCGTCAACCACTGCAGCAGCCTGGGCATGCAGATCTGCGATAGGCCAGAGACGTGATAATCCTTGCAGCAACATTCATGGCAATCCTGACGCGCAGGGAAACCAGTTTGACCACCTGTGGATACAACGATGATGATGGAAGAATCTGGACGCAAGTGAATTGCAGCATCAATGCGCCTTGACCTTTGTTTTGACAACTCCACCAGATGCACTCTTCGCATGTGCAGCATTGTGAACTTAATTTTCTAGGTGTCTGTGGATGATACTGGCAAAGTCACCTCGCAGAAGGACCCCGCTTCTGATGGCAAGGGCTGCTGTTTCCACATGTCCGTTTCAGGATGAGGACACAAAGATGAACAAGATCCGTGTCAGCTGGACGAACGGTCTTAGTCCCGACGTCAGCGCCTGCCCCGCAGACTGCAGCACTGGGGACAACTCCTGCATTTGTCCAATATCGGTGGAGTTTCAGACAGCTTTTGATGCTTGGAAGTGGGGTTGATTGTTTTTGCCGGTGTTACTGAAGTGGATGGGGAATTTTCAGACTTTCTGAATGCCTTTATGTAAGGACCGAGTTCCTTCTGTGCAAGAGCTGCAGCAGCTGAAAATTGGGGCTTTTGCCCCGTCTGGTGCTTGTGCCAGCTGCGGGGACGTCAAGGCGTACTACACAGGCGCTATCGATGAGGCAACCATCTTTGAGCACCAAGGGAAATACTACAAGAACGTCCGCAGCCATGTTCACGTGGCGGGGAAGAGCTTCCGAAACCCGCCGCTGTTCGGCCTTAAGGAGATCCCCAGCACGCGGTCGGCCATGTGGGAGGTGGAAAGCATGCTGGAGCACTTGGTGCATCATCAAAACACGGCTCCCTTCATCGCTCTCCGCCTGATCCAGCGCCTCGTGAGCTCGAACCCAAGCCCCGGCTACCTGACCGCTGTGGCCGAGGCAAGGCATGCAAGGCCGAAAAAGTTGTTTAATCATTTTTTTTCACATGTTGTTTCCGGGGTCCCGGGAGATCTCGGGAGTTGAAAGGCCTTCCGGACGGGGGCCTATGGCGGCGAGACCTTCTCAGGCAAACATGGGGATCTGGCGGCCGCAGTGACGGCTGCGCTCTGGGCTGCAGAGAGAGGGGACATTTGGGTTTGTTTGGGTTTGGGAGAATGGACGCTGCCTGGAGGAGGGATTTCAACCCTTGTCCCCATAGCTGCCATTTGTAGATGTGTCCTGTTCGATGCTGCTGGTTGCAGGTGCTCCTGCATCCAGAAGCACAGTCCTCCATTGAGACGCGGGGAGCCATGCGAGCGCCTTGGCTATGACAGCGGCATCGGACAGCTTTCGGGAAATGAAAGAAGGGTCTAGCGGAGAAGGAGCTGCGAACAGCAGGGCCAGTGCTGAGCTTGCAGGAGCCGCTCGTGAAGCTGGTGCACTTCCTGCGGGCTGCAGAATTTGTTGATGCCAACGGACGGGAGATCATGTTCCAGGCGCCGCTGGCAAATCATCATATTCCAAATCCTGCTCAGCTTCATGTCATTTCAGAGCATGACCAGTCATTGTCGTCAGCTTCTCAAGGTGGGAATGCAAATCGTGGCCCCTGATCACAATCCGATCAAACAACTAACTAGCAGTGATACCGTCAACCATGAGAGACAAGCCAGTGATACCGATAACCCCAAACCCCAAACGTGCGAACGCAGCAGGCGTAAAAGATGGTGGGGTAACTCAACTTTAAACTAAACTAACCCGAAACCAACAAAATCCCTTACTTTTTACGGCAGCATTTCCGAGGGGGAATTGTGCTTTGGAGAAAACAAACCCTAACCCCCTAAGCCTTTGAGCCCTAACCTATCATAATTCCCATAATCCCGATATCGCCGATGCCACTTCTCAGGAGCTCCAGGACCTCCTTGGCCAGGCCCGGTCCCCTCCCTTGTTTCAGGGGGATCCCCCGCAGATCATAGTAAGGACAATCTCATACTTTGGGGTCTGCTTCGAAATTCCCCTGTTTATGGAAACTTTCAGATGCAGGAAACCCCCCTTTATTCTGGGTCTCTGTGTGGGGTGTCCGCGCTCCACAGATGGCCAGGCGCCCTTCATGTCGCCTTCAGTCTTCAACTTCTACCGTCCGGACTTTCAACCTAGCGGCATGCCTGATGGGCTTGTTGCTCCGGAGGCACAAATCTTTGAAGGCGCCACGGTGGTGAACTTCTTGAATGGCATACTCTCTCTCATCAAGAATGCGGGGGTTACAGCTTGTGATGGAGGCCTCGGCCTGGAGACGCAAAACTGCAGCCAGAACTCCTTCACAAAGAATTGGGGCTCCAGCCCAAGCGAGATTGTTGAGGAGGTGAACCTGCTTCTCACGGGTGGCCGCCTTACTAACCACTCTCAAGAGATTGTGCAGGCGGCTTACGAGAACGAGGGGATCCAGGCTATGCAGGAGGCTGTCGTCTTGGCTCCGGAGTTCAATGCCCTTGGGGACCCCAAGCCCCAAGGCCCCCGCAGTAGTGACTCTACAGCTGCATCTCCTCACACCCCAGCCTCCTACAAGGCTCTGATCAACATGTACCTGGGTGGAGGGGCAGACACCTTCAACCTTGTGGTCCCAATTGACTGTGCACTTCACACAGAATACCAGACAGTCAGGAAGACAGCAGCCATGCAAAGCGCGAATCTGCTCGAAGTCAGCACCTCTGGGCAGAGTTGCAGTAAGTTTGGCATCCACTACAAGCTGCCTTTCCTGCACACCTTGTACCAGGACCGCTAGGACCGCATGGCACGCAAATGACTTGTGTGGAGTTAGGCACCTTGATGCCAGGAAGGGCGTGCTGCTTTTGTCAGCAATATCGGCTCCTTGGTCGAGCCGATGGACAAAAACGACTACTTCAAGGTGCCCGAGGGCTCGAGAGGGAGAGGGGTGTGCATGCAGCCAAGTCGTTGTCCCCCTTCTTGATCAGCACTTCTCTTCAAGCTAGGTCCCCGGCTAGCCGCTTGTAGCTGCTAGCCTTTGTCCTCCGAGCACATTGGAATGGCAACATGTTTTATGGCTTTCGTAGTAAAGAAGGCCACAGTGGCTACAATCTCTGGCTTCTGGACTCTGCATGCTGTGCAGATCTCTGAAAGACTACTCTTTTCTCGGAGGCTTTGAAAGTTGCAGCCGCAAGACGGACCTGCTGAGGAGCAGCTGGAGCGGCTGTGTGAGCCAGTTTTGAGTGAACAACTCTTTGCGGCCGCGCCAGACAGCAGGAACAAGTTTCTTGGCGGAGCCGCCTGCTGTGATCACTGGCAAACGTGAGACTGCCGCCACATCATTCGGACTACGCAGAGCTAGTTCCCCAAACCCACGCAAGCAAACTTCCAGCAGGCTGAGTGACAAGTTACGAAAGCTTCCTCAAGCTTTCGTCCAAGTCCAGCTTTGCTGATCTGCACTAAGGGGATTGTGGGGGTTAGGAAAGCCCAAAAGTGGTCAAATTTGGCCGTGTTTCGCGGGCCAGACCCCACGGCAGGAGGGTTTTCGGGAGGTGTGCTCGAAAACGGGGGTGACGAGGGGTCTGTCTCGATGCGGTTTCGGGGTGCCGTGTCGGGACGCCAGATGGCAGGTTTTTTGGCGCGTTGGAAGCCGGGCTCACGGAGGCCGTTCGTGCTCCGCCGCTTCATGAAAAAATGCACGTGCTGGTATGCACCCTGCTTGAAAGCTTTCGTCCCCCCCCCCCGCGGGCGCAAGTGTTCTGACGCACATGCAGATGCTAGGAAATTGGGCAAGGAGGAGTTAAACCAAAACCCGGAGAGCAGTGCGAACATTGTTACCATTACGCTACACAGACAATTTCCTGCAGCGACAGGAGTTCTCACTGGTCATGCAGCAAAGCCTTGGAGAGCGGCCGTAAGCAGCTGATTAATTGTCGCTAGCATTTAAGTTCCTCAACACTAGCCCTACACTGGAGCTCGTCATCGAGCAGAGCTCCATGCAGAACTGCCGGTTTGGCATGTCGTTGGCTTTTGACATACTCAGGGTGCTGCCGGAGTTATGCCGAAACCAGGATGAAGGCTCTCTTGCTTGAAGCAGGCATGGCGTCACTTTGCCAAGTCCCAGAAACATATTCAGTTGGAATGGCCTGATGTTGAAAAAACACAATTGCGTGGAGATGCTCACAAGGGAGTGCGTGGTATGCGTGGATCATGTGCAGATGATGTCCGTTCACGACGATCAGGCGATCTCAGGCGCATGACCCCCCCATTCCATGTACAGAGCTGGCCTGGGGACCAAGCCCTCTGAGTCTTTGACAAGAGGCTGCAGGAGACTTCAGTGAAGGTGCCAGGTTTTAGCAGCTGAGGCAGAATAAGCAGTCTTAAGCTGGCTTCCACTTTTGGTGCCAGGGATCGAAGACCACCTGCACCGGTCTCTTCTCCCACTCCGACCAGGTGGAGGCGGCCCAGACCCTGAAGTGCCAGGCGCATGTTATTGAGAAGACAAAGGCAAAATCATGGGGTGATAACAAAAAGCCTTATACCTTGAAATGCCTTGAACCCTTGTAGCCCCAAGACCTACGAAGCTTGACAGCTCTCAGCAGCTCCCGCAGAGATGAGGTGCGGGGCTCCGGTCCCAAGGGAGTTGGGGGGCGCATGGCCGACTCGCTCAGCCAGTCCCAAAAGATCCCGGGCTGTTGTTAGCAACGGACTTGTGATTTCTCACCTTCGGCACAGAGGTTATGCAGGGGTTTAAGGAGGAGATCGACCCATTGAGGATGGGTTCCCAAATCCAGCCGAGGCTGAGCACCATGAGCTTTTCGCTTCAAGGTCGTCAGACTTGGTCCCAAGGCGTCTACACCAGCCAGGTCAGAGTTTTTCAAATCATTGACCTTTGCCTGAGGTTTATTATCCTTGTTTTTGGCAAAACTCACAGGTTGGGGTGCCTCTCACAGGCGAGGTTCCCACGCAGCTAGACTGCACTGATGTTTTGCTGTGTGCCTACGCGGCGTTTCTGGTGCTTGAACACGAGGCTTTTGAATTACACTGGCAAGCGGCAGCTCCTGCAAGACCTCACGCAGCAGGAGCTCGGCAACATCTACTGCGAGGAGTATGCCAAAAGCGCTGGGGCCCTCGTCGACACTCGCTGGAAGGGAATCAAGCCCCCCCCCCTTTTCTTGCATGCTGTTTGTGCTCAGAAGCTTCAGCAATAACTTGGGCTGCATGGACCAAGGACAAAAACCAAGAACTCTTCGATCAGCTGGCGAACGTTACCCTCATGACAACCTGGGATATTCCTACTGGCACTGCAGGGAACCTCATGAAGACTTTGCAGGCTGTGGCCAAACTCATCGTTACACGCAACGTGCCCTGACTGATCATGAGTGCTTTGCCATTGTCCCGTCCTCTGCATGACTTACTGCTGCTGAGGAGCGGCAGGTCGAACGTGACTTCTTTTATGTGGAGTTAAGGGGTTTCGACACCCACAACGAACTTCACGAGGCGAGCTGCAAAAAGCCGCGATGCCGTTTAGCTGAAAATTTGCAATGCCGCGGCACCAGGTCATGGACGAAAACTTTGACTACCTCAATATTGCTTTGGAGGTTGAGGGGTTTAATAGCAGGCGCAACAAAGCGTGAGTGCAGTCGATGCAGTCGCAAGGCTTTCGTGGCGGAGCTCAAGGCCCAAGGCCTCTTCGACGCCGTCACCATGGTCTCCTCGTCTGACTTCGGGCGAACGCTGACCTCCAACGGCAAGGCCAAGCCACCCTGCGTTCATCTTGTCGGGACATCAGTCTTGAAGGTAGAAGTGATCCGTTCAGACATCTCCTGGGCTGCTTTTGCAGGGAACAGACCACGGATGGGCCGGCAACCACTTCGTTCTGGGAGGCCCTGGCCCTTTTGCAGCCTGTGCCTGCCCGGATTGACTGTCAGTGGAGGTGCCATCCGCGGTGGAAAGGTTTTCAACGACTATCCCGAAAGCCTGCTGGAGGGCAACAATCAGGACTGCAGAAATCTCTGGTACCACTGTCTACAAACAAACAGCAGTAGAACTAAGGAGCTGGCATGTGCTTTCTTTAGAAATGGCCCTGCGAGGATGTTGGTCGTGGGCGGCTCATTCCCAAATATCCCTGGGAGAGCATCCTCCTTCCGGTTTCGGAATGGATGGGTGTTAGTGCAGCAGATCATAGCACGATTTTCCCAAATCTTGCTAACTTTAATTCATCATATATACTTTCCACGAGCACGCTGTTTGACTGACCTGAGAGGCGCGGACGTGCCATCAGGTGTAAGTCGTTTTCCAGTCCCGAGCTCCCAAACGGGAACATGGCTTACGTGTTGTGGCTCGAGCGCTCAGAAAAGGGGACCCTTCGGGTGCACGAGTTGACTTCATGAAGACAGAGTGGCACATGAAGTTGAGACTCCTGTCAATGTCTGCCACGTGGTCCCAGGCCTGTGCATGAGGTCTTTGACTTCGACTTCACAGAGTCAGAGGTGAAGATGCTTTGGCCCCAGAAAACACACACGTTCTCATTTATGGGAGTAATTTCAGATGTTCAACCATAGTTACTCAAGCTGTCTAGAAGGTCGGAGACGCATCCTTCTGCAGAGCTCCCCATCTCTCAGAGATGTCTTAATCACTTTGAGATACGGACCCTCAATGCTCAACATGTAGAGCACGCAAAGTCACATGTTCTGACAGCTCACCATTGAAATCTGCAAGGGCAGGCCAGACAGACTTGACTTTTGTCGCCAAAGAGGATGGCGCTGGAAGCTTGGACATGCTTGGATTCGGTGATTCGGCCCATGAGGGAAGCCTGCACTTGTCTCTCCAGGTCCTGAACTGCATTGTCTTCTGGTACAAAATGTCGCGGGCTTGGGGTTGTGTTGTTGAGCACCCCCTTGGATGTGGACTGCTTGCCGGAAGGGCTTTGACAGCTGACGTCTCTTTGGACCACACGCCGGAGCAACTCAGGTTCGGCTACGACAAAGCAGAAGAGTATCTTTCTGTTTTTCACATTGCGAGAGACTGGTGAAGCTCTGGAGGAGCGGTCCAGCGATCCAGGGTGCCCGGAGCTCAACGAGCTTAACAGCAAACACTTGAAAAAAACTTGTTTGTCTTTGATGTGAGGACTACAACCGACACGCCTATCAGTGGCTGCCAGCTCCTGTTGAGGTGCTATGTTTTTTTTTTTTTGCGTTGAGACATTGCACCACTACCACCATTCCCTGCCAGGTTGCAGAGGGCGATGAAATTCAGATTCGCAGCCTTCTCAGAGCCGGATGGAGTGAAGTTGTTGGAGTTGTCTCAGCCCACGTGTCCTTCCCACAGCAGTAGGAATGTCACGTGTTCTTCCAGCGAGACTGTGAAGAGGATTCTTCCCCAAAACCCAACTGCTGTAGCTCAATCCTGGTAAGGCATTTCGATTCAGGTGGTTGCGAAATGCCCAAGTCTTGTTCCCATCAGCTGAGACAGGTGCCTCGTACAGCCGATCTCGCATACGGTTTGAGATCATGAGCTCAGAGGCATGGCTGGGACGCAGAAGTAGACCTTAATGTAGGGGTAGCAGGCAAGGTGGTTCCCAGGCCGCATCAGAAATCAACATGAAACAGTATGTCCTGCAGTTGTGGACAAGCTCCAACAATCGGAATCGGGTTCCAGTTTGCCTGCGGTGCTCTGACATCAGGTGCCCAAGAAGCTGAAGGGAGTGGGTTGTACTTCCCTCAGGAGTGTGCCGTGTGTGCCCAGACAGAGAAACCAGTTCGGCCTGGGTTTTGGGATTGATTCTATGGTGAACATGCGCTCTGACATCGACATGGTGCAGGAATCATCAAGAAACCAGAGAATCACGTTCGAATTGCAGGTTTGCGAGCCGATGTTGATACCCAGGTCCTCGATGGCTTTTCCTGAGGCTCTGGGACGAACAGCGTCGCATGCTTTGGGTGGAGGGAGTCGCGCAAGCTCAGCCGAATGGGTAGTTCATGGCTAAGGTCTCGAGGCCTTCAGAAAAGCCATCGACAAGGCCCTCGAGAAGATCATGGAGGCAACACGACGGTTCTGAAGATTTCTAGACACTTCTAAATTGTAGAGCTTGGCAGGGAATTTGGCGCAGCAATCAGCAGGTATTGCAGCTTGGCACGGCTTGAACGCAAAGCAAAAAGACTTGCAGGCTCGTGAGGCTGTTCCCAAGCTGGATCGGCCACCGCTGCGAATCGTCCACATGGGTGCAGGCTGCGTCCAGATTCGAGTTTCAGATTTTCAGGTCAGCTTAGGAGCAAAGCATGCTGGCCAGGGCTTGGACAGATCTCGATGCTGACGGCAAAGTGTGCCCTAACTTGGCTGCAGCTTGAAAGTTGGCAGAACGGCAAGGGGCTGCCTAGACGTTTCTCGAGGTGCCAGAGAGGCAGGCATCACTGACGAGGAGATTGAGACCCACGGGTATTCGGTCATTGCGCTAGAGCCTGCCGCTTTGAATGCCAGTGCAGTCTCCGCGCAGAGAGGGCAGCGTCCTTGCTGACTAAGGCAGATGCCCAAAGTGGTCAAGCTTGCGAGGCGCGTCTTCCGTGACAACGGCCTAGACCGAGACATCTTCCTTTGCTCAGAGGCGCGCGTGGAGGATTTCCTTCTGATGCACAAAGTGAAACTCGCTAGCTGCTCTAGCTTTTGCAGGATGTCCGGAAGCTGCCAAGTGCGGATCTCAGAGACTGCTGTCATTATGGGCTGCTGCAGTCTTGCTTCTGCAGTGCAGGTCAGCCCCAGCGTGCTCAGCTCGTTGTGTGTGAACACTTCGACCCAGGGCTTTTGGGTGAGGGCCTCGAGAGTCAAGCAAGTCCAGTCTCACCTTAAGTCAAACAAGCACATGCATGCACCCTAGATTCCATTATGCAATCGATCGTGTACTGTTTGCTGGCAGGTTCTAGAAATCTTGTACCCAATGACATGAAAATACATGTGCATGTCGCAGAATGTGGGATGCTTAGCAGGCAGTACCCCAGAGGGCCTGAGGCCTGAAGCGAGCCATGAACGTATCGCCAGAGCTCGAGCTGGCGATCAAGGCGGAGACACGTGGCACCAAGTTCAATGCGGACGGGATCCAGAACCGCCTGGTGGAGAACCTTCAGGAGACAAATGGGCATCGCCCGAAAACCCCATGTGGAAGTAAATAATTTCTCTTCTTGAAGCCCGGAGGCATGCTTCCAGGCATGCTCAAAGGTGAAAGGGTTGCCAGTCTTTCTGAGGCACATGCTCAGTCTATCCGCGAAAGATCCGCGAAAGGTCGCGTAGGCCGAGCAAGCTCCCAGCATTGCAAACCATGGGAGACGACATAGCTTCTGCAATTGGGTGTTGGAGTTTAGGGCTTGGGTAAGTTCCCCGCAGTTCACCTTTCCGGCATGCTTTGTGGTCTTACGGATTCGGTTTTGGAGTTGAGGGTATGGGTCAAGAGTTTTTTGAGAGTTCAGGGCTTGGTTTTTGCTTCAAACATGCTTCCGTGAAAGCTCGCGATGGTGTGCGCGAAAGGAACTTTGGATTCTCGCGAAGAGGTCATTTTGTTATGAAGGTAATATTGGGCAACGCCCAAATCTTGCCGCCCTGCATGCTCATAGTGCATGGATGCAGCTGGAGTTTCTCAACTTTGAGATGAACTCCGTTGCAGGCAGCTGCCCATCCTTGAGCAAAGAAGAAATGCAGCAGGCCCTCGAGCAGGTGAACCTCGTGCACCAAGACAGAGTTGCTTTGCAGGTGATGGGCCACTTCCGCACGGCTCAGGACGTTGCTGCCTCTATGGAATACATCACCGCCATTGTTAACAACGACAACAGGCGCATGAGCCAGCTAAAGAATGCTCTCTACAAGGTTCAATCTGAGATGCTCTGGAGTGCTTGGCCAAGCTTGGAAGCCTTTTGGAAAGAGCAAAAGTTTTCAACCCCGCGCGCGATGCCATGCAGAAAAGCCTGCAAGCCAGCCTGCTCGCGGTGCAGCTCCTCGTTGGCGCATGGGCCTTGATCCAGTCAGAAGCCAAGCAAAGTGGCATCTTGAGTGGGGATGACGGAGCTCGAAAGTTTAGAGCGCTTCATCCAATTGGTCAGAAGGAGATCATCGTTACGACCTGCGCGGTCTTTGGAAACAACGGCATAGCTGATTTCAGTTGTGTAGAGCAAATCCTACGCAATGACATCAACTTGTAGCACATCAAGATCAATTTCTCTGCATTCCTAGTCAAGCTCAAGACGACGCATTGGCAGATGCAAAAGAAGCTGTTGGAAGATTTGATGTGTTCAGAGAACATCTGGGTGCACCCCATGCAGAGGGTCTACAAGTGGCAATCCGAGGAGCCGCAACCTGTACGTTGTACCTTCATGTTGTTTGGGCTGCGTGCTCAAGCAACACGCTGAATGAATCGGCCGAAAAAAGTGAGTGCTTGCAGCATGCCCAGTTGTCATTTCGACTTTTGTGGAGCGCATAATGTTCTCTTAGACGCAAAGGCGAGGGGATCCTGGTCCTATTGAATGCTGCGCGCATCAAAATGTGCAATGCCTTTGACCACCAGGCCTGGATCTTCTGAGAGAAGCGCACATGTCACGCCAAGCCTCGCCTAGGTAATTCCTAGCCGAGCTACCATTTGGGCAGCTGCATTTGAGTGACGGGCCCAAGTGCAGAGCCGCATGCAAAGGGAGAATGCCGAGCTAGTGTGACGCTGAGGTTCGGGGAGCATTTGAACAACTACGAAGGGTCCTGGGCTAGAGCAAAGGCATGCCGTCTTTTGCGAGCTGCCGCTGTGAGCCAGGTTCAACCTGTCAGCCTTCAACCACTACCGGACGGGCTTGATGAAAGGGGCTCAGTAGGGTTTGGGGGTACATCAAAAATTATGAGTGTAGTATATTCTTCTGTAGACTTACATAAGGGTTGTAAGCTGGAATGCTTTATCATTGCTAATAGGAGCCACTCTTGAGCTCAAGTATGCTCAGGGCGGACGTGGACACCGCCTTGGCAGAAGGCAGCGCCAGGCAGCTGTCCAACGTCTTTGAGGCACAAGCCCGCACCCAAAATTGTTTTCTTTGCTGCAAAGTTACGTCAAGCTACATCAGGTTTTCAAGTTTGATTTTGAGAAGAATCTCATGCCGGACGTCCGGATCCTAGCGTTGAATGAGTTCGGGCGTGGCTAGAGATGCTGACCCTTTGTTTGCGAGGCGCATAGCATCACCTTCACACCAATAGCCACAGGACCTTCTTGCATGGCCATGGGCAAGTAGCTGGAAGC